CATTCCTGAGCGAGAAAATACTAGGAGAGAAGGGGAGGAGTTGTGTGCAGGGACCCAGGCCTGCTTAGCAGGCAGGCAGGGGCGTCCCTGGGGACAAAGAGGTAGGGGCAGACACATCTGTGGCAAGGAAGGAAAACATTCTGAATGCCTTGGCGCCCGTGGAAAGCCCCTCCTCACCCCAGCCCCACTCACCCTTCTGTGGCAGAGAGTGAGGGAGGCAGGGCCTGGACAGGAGGAGGCAGAAGATGCTGGGGCGCAGACTCCTGCCCCAGTCAGTGAGGGTTCTCCTCCTCACACCCCAACCCCGAGGGGCAGGCTATGCCCCTGCCCCATGCCTCCACCCAAGTCCCAGGGATTTCATAGGACAGGGGCCACCAAAGAGGCTCAGCTGGGCAAGAAGAACGGGCTTACGCTTTTTCAAGTTTCACCCAATCTGCCCTCAATGCTATGGAAGCTTCCTCCTGAATCTCTCACTTCCAGCCCCTCCTCTCTGCCTCTGCCCCTGCCCCCTGGGGCCACTACTAGCTCTTGCAATGTCCCCTAACTGAGTCCCTGCCTCCATCTTTCTCCTCTATCCATCTATCACAGTACCAGCCACCAGCAAGCTCTTCCTAATTTTGTCCCTTGACCACCCACTCTTTGTCTATGTAGTAACACCCAAATTACTTAGTGAGGTGCCCACAGCCCTTCATGGCTGATTCCAGCTCTCCTCCAGCCCCCTCGGTGTCCCTAGCCCCAAATCTATACTCAGATCCAATAAATCACAATGTAATGATAACAGCTACTGTGTGTGAGCCCAGCAGTAAGGCTCGATGTGCCTTCTGTCACTTAGTCTTTAAACAATAGAACACGGTGCATTATAGCAACTGTCATCGCCATTTTCCACGTGAGAAAGCTGGTTGACTCCAGTTACGTCCCCAGGACCTCCTAGAGGCAGGCAGGAGTGCCTGAGGTACAGGGCGAGAAGCTCTGAGGTGGGCCAGGGAGAGAGACGTGGGCGAGCAGGGAGGGACCCGACGACCGGAGGGCCCGAGCCCCTGTCCGGCCGGGATGCAAATGAACCACGAAGGTGAACAGGACCATTATTTGGGTGCCCAGGGAATTCGTGTCTCCTTGCCACCGGCTTCAGGGTGCAAAGCCTGCTGCATCAGTCCTGCAGGGTGGTGGAAAGTATGTGGGCTGGCAGCGATGGCATTGGGCTCTGGTTCCCTTCCACGCAGAGCGGAAGGAAAGCCGCCAGCAGCAGGATGATGTTGGCCAGCTTGGATCCTGGATTCTTTCCAGCTTCCCTCAGGCCACAGAACCCGTGCCACAAAGACACATGGACAGGGACAGGCCAAGAAAGGGCCTGAGGTCTAAATCGGCCCGTGGGCCAGCCCCCTCCTGCCTCTTTCCACCTCGGAAGCTGGGCTGGAATTCCACCGTGTCATGTGTAATGCCCAGATGGCGTCAGCCCTGCGGCTTCCCGAGGCAGGCAGGCTGGGCCGACGGCGTCGCATTCGCAGACCCTCCCCGCCTCACCCCCTACCCCAGCGCTGCCATGGGGCGTCATCAGTGCAGGCTGGCCAGGGGGAGATGTGAGATGCGAACCCCAGCACCTCGGCTGCAACAGGAGGAGGGCCCGGCAGTGGGAGCTCAGCAGACCCTGTGCCCTGGTCCTGATGGAGGACAGCATCCCCTCGGCAGAAGTGTGACTGGTGGGGGAAGCCAGGTGGGCTCTAGGATGTGGAGCAAGAGGCTTGGAGAAAGTGCCAGGGGAGGTGTCATTGTCCTTGTTCTTTCACCAACTTGGTGTGCGTGGCCCTGTGTGTGTGTAGGGGTGGTGGGGTGTGTGTGTGATGGTGTGTGTGTCTGTGTGTTTCTGTATGTGTCTGTGTGTCCGTGTACATGTCTCTGTGAGATGGGTCTTTTTGTGTGTGTTCGTGCACACGATGATGTGCGCGTGCAGGGCCGTGTGTCTGCACGGTGTGGGGCTCTGGACATGTGGAGTGTGTGTCTGTTTCTGCACCTATGTGGTGGAGGACAGGGCCAGCGGGACCTGCTTCTCCAGCACCTTAGAGGAGCAGTCAGATTTACATTCTTTGTTCCTTCAAAATGGAATATCTTCTCGTCTCCCTCCCTGGAACCAGTTCCTTCCTGTTCTGTTGGACTCAGATCCACCTCATTCATTCATTGATTCACTCACTCATTCATTCATTCAACAAAATACAGTCTCTGCCCTCCACAGACCCTGCCAGGTTTCCTTCCGACCGCAAGGCTTGCCTCTTCTCTGAATAATAATGATTGCGAGGGCCCTCGTTTATCAAACACCAACCAAGTCATTACACGTCAGGCTCTGTGCTCAGACTTCCCCGTCTATTTCCTGGCTCAATTCTCATGACACCCTGTGAGAAGGCTAATGTTACACCACGTTATAGGGGAAACACGAGAACACTTTGCAGGGTTTTACAACTTCTCCAAGTTCACACAGCCAACCCGCAGGTAAACAAAGATGAAAACTGAGTTCTGACTCGCAGCCTGCACTCCAGGCTCACAACCACTGGTCTCTGAGCCGTCCTCGGCCCCCACCCATGCCCTGTCCACGGCCTGGCGTTGAGCTGACCCACGTGGGGAAGGCAGCCGGGTGGCCCTTTTGGGGCCTGCCGGGTGCTATGCGTATTTGAAGTCCACCCTGTGTCCGTCCGGAGGAGCCGTGAGTCAGACTCGAGTGCACGTACGTGAGGGCAGAGCTGCCTCCTGGCTGCTCCTGGACTCCGGCCAGGGCCAGCAGGGAACCCTGCATGGCTCGCATTCAGCACTCCCAGCTAGCTAACGAGCTCACGTGGGCCGCTCAGAGACTCTGTGTAGAAAAACACAGGCACACACACATCATTTCCCCCTTACTTCACTGCTGCGGCATCCCTTCCATGACCACAAGTATTTACATTTTTTTCTCCCAGAAGTTCAACTCCAAAAGAGACAAGACGATTTGAAACGCTAAAACATACACGTATTTTTCTTTCCTAGCAAAGGGCTCTCTAGACTTGCTAGTTTTACATCAAACCCAGCAGCCCAGAAGCTGGTAACACGTCTGACACATTTTAGATTCGAATTAAAGTCGGAATGCTGTTCCTCTAGCCAGAGACAGTAGTTCGTTCACCCAGCTCTCCAAAAGGCTTCCCTCCAGGGAATCCACAGAACCTTCTGAACTTGTCTTCCTCTGAGCTCTCACATCCCCGGGGAGGGCCCAAGCCCTGGGAGTAATTATCACTCGCTTCCCAGAGGGAAAATCGAGCAGGCTGTTTCCTTCCTGCTTCAGCCCGTGGGCTGCTGAAGAGTGTGGAGTCCCAGTCTGGTGCCTGACTGGTATCTCGCATTTGCAGCTTCTGTGAATGACTTGCGAATTCCACAATGTGACAGTGTGGGGCTGTCGCCAGTGAGAAAAAGAATCACTAGTTTTGAAAGTCTAGTTGGAGATTGCATCAGAGAAAGAAACGGGGGAGGTGGGGGGGCGGGCGCAGGGGGAGGAGGCGAGGCAAGGCAAACAAGCAAGTCCTTCACAATGTGACTGAGAACTGGTCACAGCCCACAGCGCCCCGGGGAGGCATGTTTGCAGGGCCAAGTCTTAGTCCAGGGAGCCTCTTTCCTTCCACTCCAGAAGTCATAATTTTTTTAAATGTTCTTTTAAAATATTTATTTTTCAATCACAGTTGACATTCAATATTATATTAGTTTCAGATGTACGACGTAGTGATTAGACATTTATACAGCTTACTTAGTGATCTAGTACCCATCTGACACCATCCATAGTTATCAAAGTATTATTGACTATATTCCCTATGCTATATTTTACATCCCTGTGACTATTTTAATAACTGGCAATTTGTACATCTCTATCCCTTCCCCTTTTCTACTCATTCCCCTGACATCCCCTCCATTCTGGCAAGCATCAAACTGTTCTTCGTATCTATGAGTTTTTTTCTGTTCTGTTTATTTTGTTTTTTGGATTCCACATATAAGTAAAATTGTATGGTATTTGTTTTTCTCTGTCTATTTCACTTAGCATAATATCCGCTAGGTCCATTTGTGTTGTTGCAAATGGCAAGATTTTAATCTTTTTTATGGCTGAGTAATATTACATTGTATATATGAACCACACCTTCTTTATCCATTCATCTATGGATGGACACTTAGGTTACAATGTCTTGGCTATTGTAAATAATGCTACAATGAACATATGGGTACATACGTCTTTCGAAATTAGTGTTTGGGTTTTTCTAGATACTCATAAGTAGAATTGCTTGGAGCCGAAGGCCTGGGGAGCCACAGGGGGGTACTGAGCAAGACACGTGGACACACAGTGGTCAGTGGGTGAAGGGGCTGGTGGCGTGTGACGCAACCCAGGGCAGTTACTCACCCAGACTGAGGACACACAGGGCCCACGGGAAATGACCAAATTATAATGATCATCTGGTAGTTCTATTTTTAATTTTTTTCAGGAACCTCCATCCTGTAGAAGTCGTAACTTAACATCAGCCCAGCCTTCCCACCTGAGAAGTCCTCCCTGGAGTATTTTGGGAGTGGGGGGACCATGATGGAGATACAGTGGTCCACCATCATCCCAGCTGGAATGCATGACTGGTGAGTTCTACACAACTTCGGCTCACTTAGCGCCCCTTCCCTCTACTGCTAGCCGTTTCCTGCATCTTCCTCTCAAAGCCCGCAGCTTTCTTTATTTAGCTATTTAAAAAAATAGTCTTCCAGATAGAGATCCACCTTCCCAACTGCCAGTGTGGCACCTTCCTCAGCACATCAAACCAAATCCATCCAGGACGCCCTCAGTCTCTCCCGCATTCACCAAGCGAAGCTCTGCAGAGCAGACCAGAAGCCTCGCAAGCCTTTCGCGCCCTCTCTTTTCCACACTCTAGTATCCCATTCTGCCCAGCAAGGCCTTTTCTACCCTTCCATCACCTTTCCATCCCCACTTCTGACTTTTTTTTTTTTAATTTGGTCATGTGTGCCATGAGAACTGTGAAAACAGAAGAAGGGAATTATAATTTGGTCATTTCCCGTGGGCCCTGTGTGCCCTCAGTCTGGGTGAGTAACTGCCCTGGGTTGCGCCACACGCCACCGGTCCCTTCACCCACCTGACCACTGTGCGTTCACGTGTCTTGCTCAGAAGCCCCCTGTGACTCCCCAGGCCTTCGGCTCCAGTTGAGAGCCTCTCCAACCTTCCCGTCTCATTTCCGTTTTTCTAGCCAGCGAGCTTCTCCCACTGCCATGTCACGGCCACTCTTTGAACCCCAGCATCATTTCTCTCAGGGACAATTTCATTCATTCATTCAAAAAACATCTGTCGAGTGCTCTGACGCCCCTGGCACTGTGAGAGGTTCTGGGACACATGGGTCGATCAGACAGCTGAGTCTTTTGCTAATGACGGAGGGGTAAAGAAATAGCACCACCTCCTCCACAAAGCCCCCACCCCCAAACATCTCATCCACATACATTTGATTTCTTCCTTATCCTTCTAACATCTGCTTTCTGAGTCGCTCGTTCAGTCCTTGTTTACACCGACGATCTTGTACTACTCTTTACCGGTCCACGTATTTTTGCTGTCTCATTGGACTGGGAGTCCCTCAAGCACAGAACTGTGCCTTGCTTATTTTTATATTACCCATGGCTCCTAGTACCAGACAGATACATAGGGGGTCCTCAAATATTTTTGGAACGAATCGATAATAATTTCTAAAAATCCATTTACAGGAATTCAGTCTAGCTAGAAACGTTGGGCTCCCAAGCCAAATATTCAGTAAAGACGCCCTTTATTCTTTGTTCAATGCAAAGTAAACAGAGGCAGCACTTGCCTCCCTTCCTATGGCACAGGCACTACTTATGTGACTTGTGGACGCACAAGGAGAACGTCCGCCCTTTATCCGCCCGTTCTCTTGTCATCTAGCTATCTACCACCCTCCCTTTTCCCCTCGAAATATGATTGCGAATAACATTATTGAATAGAATAGAAAGCTCATCTGAACCTCAGCACGTGTTTGATGGTTTAGCTAAGTGGGTGTTATCTGTAAAGGTACCGAGGCATGTTGCATTCAAAGACTCTGGCTGCACTATCATTATGCCCTTTTGAAGATCAGATTGGGAGTTCATATCGTAAGTAGTTGCCTGTAACATTCTCCAGTCAGTGGCTGGGTCGGATGGACGAAAGGGGAGAGGGAAGGCACTGTGGTCACGTCTGTTCGTCAGCTCTGTGATGGAGACCAGCTAGGGTGGAGGGGACGGGGCGGGAGTGGTGTGGAGAGCTGAGGTCATGCTGAGCTACCAGAGGAAAAAGGCTGTAGTCTGTCTGGGCTCTCCTCCTATAAATCAAGAGTTTTGCAACACCGCTGGAAAATCAAATGCTCTGTTTCATTTTCCAACCTGAAAGCACTGGGGTAGGTAACAGAGGCTGCTTCTTTGGAGAACAGGCAAGCCCTGATGTCTGCAGGAAGCTGGCAGGACACCTGCTCCAGCAACCAGGCCCTCTGACCCAGCAGGAGTGCTGAGGCCACAGACCAGGCAAGTCCTGGGCCAGGCCCAACGATCCACCACACTCCCAGGTGGGGCACTTGATGCTTCTCCTCATAGCAATCATCACCATGGTAACAGAGTAATGATCTATGAAATCGTCTTTCTCCTCTACTAGACAGCAAGCTCCAGCAGGGCAAGACTGTCTATTCATTTTATTAATCCCTTCATTCCCAAGGTCTGGTACGCGATTAATTACAAAGTATTGAACAAATGAATGAACAGATACAGCATCCAGCTGCCTTAGCAACAGCCTCAGGGGGATGGGTCAGGCGACTCCTCGGCATTGAACCCTCTAGCATGGCTGAGGTGACTCAAACGAACCATTGGGGCCCACTGCAGAGCCGGATTGGACATCACCAGCCCATCCTAATCACATCAGCTGACCACCCAACAGAATGGATCCACCCAGGCAGGGCAGAGAGAGGCTTCCTCCAGCTTCCTCCAGCTTCCTCAAGCCCACACCGTGACCACATAGCAGCCCTTAACACTGATCTTTCCCCATGCAATGCCACGCAATTTACCCTCCATTCCACACTGTTCAAAGTTTGAGTACATACTGTCCATTCTTTTATTTCATCTCACAAGTAATTACAATGGTATTTATGCCTATCAAAGAGTTGCATGTGCAATGCGCTGGCCTTGAGTCAGGTTTCCCAGATTTGCCGGGATGTGCACCATTTCAAATATTTTGTCGTATTAGCCGCATAAATGCCCTTTTGCTTTTTCAGATGCTGTGACCTATTTTTAGTTGGGAAAATAGGTCACCTTAGAACTACTTCTCTTGTGTCCCTTGTGGTGGCTGGCAAGCCTGACCACACAGAGGCCCTCGATAAACAGAATCAAGGAATGTCAGCCCTGGACAGAATCTCATACATCCTCTTGCCTGAGCTCCCTATGAGCTGGAGACACAGCGCCCAGGACAGCTTGACAGTTCAGAAGGCCGGAGATAGAGCTATGAACTTCCAGTGCAACTCTTCACTCCCTTGCCGAAGAGTTCGGCACAAACTGCCCATTTGCTACCATTTTCCCCCCTGCCACACGGGGAGACCATCTAGCTCTCCTGTGGCCAATGGGAGAAGCGGGTCTATATTTAGGCTGCTAAACTGCCTTCTAAACTCTCAGAGATGAACACAGCCTCCCTTTTTTCCCTAAACCACCCAGCACAACCTGTTGCACCCCCTCTCTGGTGGTGGGGGACAAAGCTCCCGGTCAGGGGGTGCTGGGACATTTCTGGAGTTAATTACTCCATTTTGGGCGCTGGGCCTCCACCCCCAGGAGCCCCCAGATGCTGGCGAGATAAGGTTGCTGTGGCCGAGGGAAACCTTGAAGCATTTGGCAGCTGCCTGTGACTAATAAAAACCTGGACTCCTGGAATTTAAAAAATTCGCGACAGCCTCAGTCCCTGTGTTTAAGATAAGAAAGAGCTTTTTCAGGAGCCTTTCCCGAAGCATGCGAGACAGTAGAGGGTAAGGGTACCGGATTCTCCCAGCTCTGTCCTCCTCTGTTGGCTCCTCAAGACCCCCTGGGGCTACCTGATGTCACAAGGGAGAAACTGAGGCTCCAGGGCCACGGGGGGATAGGCCACACCTAAATCTCACAACTTAGGGATTTCCAGTCAGTTCTGGTAACCTAACTGCTTTTGCAAAAGAACTTTTTAAAAGTGTGTGGGGAAGAAGGTGAGGCGGGGAGGTGGAGAGAGGGAAAGACCTGGATGTTCCCTGATCTAACCACACGCGGCCCCAGCCACGAGCCTTTCTATGAGCGCACGACTCAGCAATGTGCAAAACAGCCAGTGTAGAGAGGTTTGTGAAAGCAGGGCTTCTGGATTTGCAATCTCCCCTTATCTAATGCTTTTTCCAACTCGTCCACCCGCCACAGACAGGAAACGAAGCCTCTCGCTTTAAGAGCCTCTGTAATCCTAGGAAGGTTTCGTTAGGGCTGTTTCCTAGGTTTAAAAAAGATCTGTTTGCTTGGAACCAACAGTATTTCCCATTTTATTCTTTGCTCCTGCTTACCTCTTTTTAAGATTCTGCAGTTTTAAGGTTTGAGACCCATTGACCTTATAAAAAATGCTATTTTACAGTGAGGTGTCCAAAAAGCCCAGAAAGATTACTCATCTGGACATACAGCTGCAAGTCTCAGGCTCCACTGGGACCTGGCTTCAGGTGACCTGCCTTCAATTCTGGGGTCTAAAACTTAGCAT